GTGCAAATTGAATGCTTTAAACATTAAATTCGTGATTTCAAATTATGCTGCGCTTTATGCATTTGCCCACTGTCATATTCATGTCATTTTCACTGTGTGCTGTATGTAAAATGAGTGTTACCTTGGCTTTATTTGAAAAAATATGATTCCCAATGCACACAAACTTCCCAGAATACTGAGTGCTCTGTTGGTTACAGTTTGCTTCCTTTTTAATGATATTTTTATTAAATATATTTATTTATTTGTGGAAAATACTTTGTCATCTAAAGTATAAGTATGTTTATTTTACAAATTTATTTTATCCATTTTCAAATGATTGAATTTCAAATTTCTTAAATATTAATGAAAATAAATACAATTATATCGGCCATCGGCCACCCTGCTTTCCAAGATATCGGCATCGGCTGTCAAAAAACAATATCGGTCGACCACTTCTGGTTGGTTGCCAATACGGTGTATCTACATTGTGATTAATTCCAGAAGGGTCATAGTGCATTATGCATGGGGTAGGAAGCAATATGCACCTCTGAAACAATGCTGGGAACACCGACTCCTTCCGTATGCATACACAGAGGTTTTTTTCCCACTGGATGTATGAAATGTAGTCCAGGTGTTTCTCTTTCCCCTGTGCATTTCAATTGTGATCAATAACACAGATGCTTATTTGTGTCCCCTTCCTCAGGAGAGTTGCAGGAAGTGCCATGTGGTGTGGAAGGAGCACACAGGAAAGACCTGCGAGCAGGTGCTGGAGAGGGACGAGATCCGGCTACGGGTGACCTTGTAAGTGCCCGACTGAAAACTCAGCTTGTTAATAATTCATCCGTGCACTATTGAGGGTACTCAATAGTGTAGCGAACCACCTGGGAGATCATTAGCATGCCTGATGCTGAGTCAGCTGTTTCCCCAGGCCTTTCTCATGGCACGCTAAAACACTCGCTGTATTTGATGGATTCCCTTGAGTGTTATGTTTGCAAATACACATCATCCAGAGCTGCCCCTGTGTGCAGCGGGCTTTCATGAGGAAGTGTACTGGAGTGTGGTGGGTGTCTGTGTAAACTGATGCGGTGTGAAAGCAGCCTATCACTGCTCTCAGTCTCTGGACTGGACAGGATGTGATCGCCGGGCTTCCTTCCTGTCATACACATGAATCAAAGACTGTGTATCCTGTTTACCCCCAACCTTTTCTGTTGCCTACATTTATAGAGACAGGAAAGTGACCCTGACTGAGAGATTGAGTTAAATATGGTGTCACAAAGGCAGATTTATGTGATGCAGCAAGATAATGTGTCTCAATACCAGTATGTTTTCTATATGTTAAATAGCCCAAAATAACTGATGCTAAAATGAACATATTGGCTTTGTTCCAATAGCCAGTGAACTGCAGCTACCTACTAAGATAGCATCCTAACTGAAATGAAACCCATTAAACTCATTTGGTTTGATGTTAGCATGTTGCTAAGCTAATGATGTGGCACTCTTTAAAAAAACATAAAAAATACATCACACAAATATTAGGTAAAATAGTTTTTTATATTTTGAATGAAATACAACTATGTTTGGCACATTTCTCAGTAACACTTTACAATGCATGAACATGAGCTAAAAATGAAAAATTCTAAAGCATTTTCCAATCTTGGTTAATGTTTATTTCAGAATTTACTAATACATTATTAAATCAAAAGTTCTGTTAATAGTATTTAATGGAACTGAGCTAACGTTAATTAACAATGAGCAGTTTTTTATTAACTAACTTTATCAAACTAATGTTATACTGTAACTGTATTGCTCATTGCAGCCCAAAAATTAACTCTTGTATTGCATATAACTTATTGCAAACTGTTATCCATTTCTCTTAATTTTGTCTGCCATTTTTAATTTTCATTACTTAATTTTTTTTTTTCTTTCCGCTAAGCTTTGAGACTATTTTTTTAATTGTAAGTTTTTCTGTTTGGGCATTAATTGTTGTAAGCAAGACTTTTATTTTGACAGCTTTCTCCATCTTCATTAGTTTACTGGCTTGTTTATCAGTTCTGTCTATTAAGGCAAATGTCTATTGATAGAAGGGCTATAATGCTGTTTTTAATTTACTGTCAGCATTCAAAAAATATTTGGCATTTATGTCATTAAAGACTTAATTCCACAAACAATGCAAACGTTTTTGCCTAATTGATTCATATTAAAATGATTTAATTCCAATTATTTTAGTAAACATTGTCAAAGAAATATATTTAATTGCAGCAATTGCGTTTTGCTTTTAAAATAAATGTATATTTAAATAGTATGATATCACATTCCTATATCTGTCGACCACTATTTAAAATACTGTCTCGCTAGGCAGCTCACGGTGCTTGCATGTAAACTGAACCCAAATGTCATTTGTTTCATGGCCAGTGAGGAAAAGATGACCGCTGCCCGTGTCAGGAAGTGCCACAAGTGTGCCACAGGTCTGGTGAAGTCGGAGGGCTGCAACCGGATGTCGTGTCGCTGCGGCGCCTTCATGTGCTACCTCTGCCGGGAGCCTATTAACGGCTACAACCACTTCTGCCAGCACGCTCGCTCGCCTGGCGCCCCCTGCCGACAGTGCAAGAAGTGCTCGCTGTGGACGGACCCCACGGTAAATGATGACACACTGCACTTCTTTGGTTTCGAGAGAGGCTGCTTTCATGCTCAATGTTAGCGTGCGATCATCCTTGAAAAGCAGCAAACACCTTTACTTTCTATACATTTACATACATTTGTGCTCAGTTGAACACTCCTTTTACATGACTTACTTGCTGACACTTTTTGACCCTCATTTTGGAATGTGTTTGGAGCTGTTAATTGATTAAATTACATGATTTGCATTCTTGCTTTTATTTTAAATATAATTTTTTTTACTTAATTTGTTTTATAATTAACAGACAAAAGCATTAAAAACAGTACATTTACATTTTAATTGCATTATTTTTTGAGAGAATAAATTGTAATACATTAACAGCTCTAACCTGTGTTGCATTGATAGATTATTTGTAATAAGAGTGATTCAGTCTTAGAATAAACACCAGGTGATATATGGTGTAATGGCTTGGTGTTGGTTTTGTATACAGGACTCTTTGAGAGTATAACATGCGAGAGGTACTTGAGTGGAGCATGCTGCTTCTCATGCGTGTTGATGGAGTAGGAGTGCTGAGAGGTCTCTACTGCAGGAATACTGCAGCTACCACAGTCAACCGTCATGCATTAGCTGCATATTATATAATAGCCAACTGAGTGCTAAAGATGTAGCACTCAGCAGTCCATGACTAAAGCACAAAGTGCTCATTCATTATTCAAATCATGCTGTTAATTTTTCCATTTATTAATCATAAAAGGTTGTTATTGATACCTTCTTAGTAGATGGGTAAAATACGCAAATATTATATTAGATTTTAATGATGATAACCTAATCATCTACTTATCCTCATTTAGCATATTCTTATTAATTTTAAAAGTTATCTAGCAGAATGTTCCTCTTTTTTACACCCTAGATTTAAACTCTAATTCATGTTTGTAATTTATGTATTATAAATTGAGTTCACCTAAAAGTACTCCACATTGAGGCTGCTTGTTTATGACAAAAATCGAAAAAAACTTATTTTGGGCAATATCTATTATTTATTGATTTGGAAACATCATTTATATACTTTAAAAAATAAACCTTTTAACAGTGGATTTTAAATACAATTCAACTGAAAAACAAAACACACACATATATATATATATATATATATATTTATTTATTTATTTGTATTCTATTTCTATTATTATATAAATAATATATTTGGGCTTTTAGGGAGAGGTGAAAGCAGCCCACTGTAAAGGGCTACACTGGATTTATAACACAAAAGCATCATTGTGAAATGGAATGTGGCCCAATATCAATCTCAATTATCTTGTTTTCATATTTGTTAGAGACAAAGTCATGATTGAAAAAAAAATTGCCCAGCCCTAATCCACACACCATACAAGAAGAATGAGAAATAAAACTTCTTTGGTTCAAACTTCATATGTACCATGAACGATGTGTAACTGAAGAGCTAGTGTTTGTCCCCGATTTTCACCATCAGAAATAATTGACATTCTGCTCGCTCTCTTCCTTTTGTTGTTTTGTGGCAACGATACATTTTGGGTTTGGCACAACTTGAGGATGAGTGCATGATGATGGAATTGTCATTTTGGGGGAAACTATCCCTAAGCAGTGAGCATGAGTGAGAAATCCCTTTCCGGTTGATCCAGGAGTTCCACTAATTATCCGATTAAGGCATTTGAATGGTGTTTCTGTGTGAAGAGCGCAGTCAGGGAGCCGTCCCGCTGGCAATTACCCCTCCTTTCAGAGCCGTACCTAATCACCTGGCACCGTGCACCAGGCTGACCGGTGAACTTGAGCTGTTTTGTGTTTGACCGATGAAGTGGACTCCTCCCAAGTTCATTTTCGTCCAGGCTGTGGTCTGACGCGGACATTGGCATCACATTGCTTCTGGCGGGGTTCGCTGGTCTTTTCACATGATTGAACAGTAACCGGAGAGCCTAATTGCCGTGCCTTTTTGAAAAGCTTTTTTGTTTTCTCTACTTCTCCCCCTTTCACTTTCTGTGTCTTTTTCAATCCACAGCAAGACGATGAGCGAATCATTCAGGAGATTCAGAAAGAAGGTGAAGCGGAGTTAAATAAGAAGACCAATCAGTCAGGTCAGTGTTCCTCAGCTGGACAGCTTGAGTCTGCCACCTAAACCCGAGTGGTTTCTAATGATATTTTGTAATGTCTCCCTCAGAAAGCACAGGGAAGAGAGTGGGACCTCCCCCTGAGCCCATCCCAGCGAAGCGTCCTCGGGTTACACCGCAGGCCCCTAACGCAGCACCTCAGGCCGTACGTGCCCCCCTGCTCATCCCCCAGGTCATGCTGCCTGGGCCGCAGCGTGTTTTCCTTCAGCCCATTCCAGCCCCCTACGTGCCCCCGTTGCCCAACTTCCCCCCAGTAAACTACAACCCACATAACCTGAACTTGGACTTCAATATGCCTATGCACTATGGACCACCGCATCGCTTCTTCAGACCTCTTTGAGGACACCATGGTACAAAGCGCCACATTCAAACTACTAAAAAAATAATCCAGGCTTCTGTGTCTTAACTGTTAGCCCTCGCTGTTTTTTTTCTACGTATTTTGTAACAGGACCTAAACTGATTTTCTGGTGAGTTTTCAGGATGCCTGTTGGATTTGCTTCTTTGTTGAGAGGCATTTTTTGGAACAGCATACAGAGTGAATAATATGAACACCTGTTAGTTTTCAGTTCAATAAAACAAAGAACTTGATGGAACTTTAAACATTGTTCATGAAATCAGTCAAAATATATGTTGGTTTGGCTGGGATTTCCAATGATGTTCCCCAAAAAGAATCCACTGCAGTCAACAAACCACTTTAATGTTTTTTCATCCAGGGTTTTTCTTATTCAACATCTTCCTCCTTGTGCAAATGCCTAGATTATTAGTTTAGATCAGGGCTGTCCAAACTCGGTCCTGGAGGGCTGGTGTCCTGCAGAGTTTAGCTCCAACCCTAATTAAACACACCTGAACCAGCTAATCAAGCTCTTACTAGGCATAGAAACTTCCAGCAGGTGTGTTGAGGCAAGTTGGAGCTAAACTCTGCAGGACACCGGCCCTCCAGGACCGAGTTTGGACAGCCCTGGTTTAGATGGATATTGATGCCATTTCAGATCTGTAAATCAAACTTTAGGACCATTTTTTGCTACTGATGTTTACACTGTTCAAAACTTTGGAATCTGAAAGACATTAACAGTATTAAGAAATTAATACTTTTATTCAGCAAGAATGCATTAAACTGATTGAAAGTCACAGTAAAGACAATGTTACAAAAGGTTTTTATTTCAAATAAATGCTGGTCTTTTGAACTTTATATTCATCCAAAAATCCTGGAAAAAGTGTATCACAATTTTTACAAAGCTATTAAGCGACTGTTTTCAATATTGATAATAAGAAGAAATGTTCCTTGAGCAGCAAATCAGTATATTAGAATGATTTCTGGAGGATCATGTGAGACTGAAGCCTGGAGTAATGATGCTGATAATTCAGTTTTGTCATAACAGGAATAAATTGCATTTAAAATATTACAGTAGAAAGCAGTTATAAATGTTTCATAATATTTACTGTTTTTACTGACTCCAAACCTTTGACTGGTAGTGTAGATCAGACATTATTAGTTTTAACCCCCTCATACTTGTGAGTCATGAACTTCAAAATCATTGCAATATTCACAATTTTATATCAGCGTAAATTGTGAATATTCAATTTGGTGCCCAGCCCTAGCTGGGATGTAACATATGAGAGCTTATCTGGTTTGCATCACAAAGGGAAATGGAGGAGGAACTGTAAGCAGATGTAAATGGGATGGTGGAGAATATTCAAATTTAATTAGATCCTAGACATTTCTTTGTTCTGGTACATCCTCACTGTGAGCTTGACAGTCTCTCTCATGGATGTTTTTAAATTTAGATCTGTTGAGCTATTTTTATGAACTTATAATTACCATCTCTTGCTCTCCGTGTTCATACATGCTTCTAAATATATTTTCTGCACTGATAAGGGAAATCTGCTGAATTGATTTAAGCAAACGTGCAGTCACATTAGCAAAACTTCGGCAAAATATCATGGGCAAAAATGGTAAATTGTCAGTGTAGTGATGCATGAAGCACCGCTTACTCGGGTCATTTCCAAACGAAGTAGTTTTTTGTTGGTCAATTTGTGTCCGAAGTTAAACAAATGTGTGGGTAACACGTCCGTCTGTAAAAATGCCCAAACCCATCAAATTCCTAATGCACCGGCAGAATTTTGCCTTACAAAGGTAAATGTGTTCACACCCTTATGCAGAGAGTGTTACAGTCTTACTGTCAGAGCCGATCCTCCCTATACACAAAATACTCAAGCTGCGTAGGGCCCCCGAAACACCAGGGTGGGCCCCCTTGCTCTCAAAGATGATTTAATTTTAGGTTCGTTTTTGAATTTGGCCAGTGGTTCTGAAAACATGAATGATCATTTCTTTCAATGCGGTGCGCTTTCACCCTTTCTACGTAAAAATCAGTCAAATCATGAAATGTGAATGTCGTACAGTCTTGCTCGAGACTAAAAAAAACTAGTTGAAAGCGTACCGAGCCGCGGAAGAGACACTGTTTCTCAAGCGCTTTCCACGAGCGCGATTCAAGACGGAGTGAAACATGGACAAATGCTTTTCATTCATTCGTTCATAACCACTCATACCCCACTTCACTGCCCCCGTCTCCCCGCCGACACAGTTTTGCGTAGGGCCCCCAGAAGTCTATGATCGGCACTGCTTACTGGTAGCTAAAAGCATTATCAAATGAATCAATATTTTTAATAAATGAACATGCAAAGGTGACTGCAAAATTTGTGAAGGACACTTCTGCAGAGTGTTTTCTCTTGAGTTCGTAATCCATGTGGACCTGCTAATCCGACACACAACAACATCTGACCAAATGATTCAGAAACTCTTGCTTTTGATTTATGTAATGTAGGCTGTCAGTGCCAAAGATCAATACATTGTCAAACATTAAGCTGTTGTTATTCCGCACGTCGGCCCATAATGCCTGTGAAGTGGGTTGTTTATTGTGTTGTATTGCGTGACTAGTGCAGAGAGACTCCCGCAGAGAGTCCCGTCCTCTTGCCCAGAGCTTCAACAAAGAGCCACAGCTCTTGCTCACTAATGGAGCCCACAGGATCCTCACCTCCAGCTCTCCTTCCCGCTGACACTATCCCCTCTGCCCCGGGCTTTATTCAGACCCCTCACGCCTCTTAAAGCACATTACTCATCCTCACAGAGAGCACGAGGCTCTTACAGAAGTCCTTTCTTTGGTCTAATCAAAGGGATGGTGGTGTGGAGACCATTGCGTGTCAATCAAACCAGCAGAATAACACAATCCTGAGAAGATCAGGATAATCTGGTCATTTTCTCCCATCTGTTGTTGGTGGTGTATCTGAGCAGCGGTGTACCACACCTGACGCGGTGCAGGCGAATGAAGTGTCTCAGTTTGACATGGTAACCTCCTAATGGGTCAGCAGATGGACAGTCTTTAGGCCCGTAGGCCTGCAGGTGTGAAGGGTCGACCCTGGCAGCTTGCGCTCAATGCGCCCACAGCTTAAGAGCTTCCTGAAACTGGATCTGTGCCCCTGAATCTTCTGCCTCATGTTTCCTCAAGTCTCTCATATTTAAAAATCAAGCTTCTTTTTGGCATTGATGGTTCCTTGAAGAACGTTTAACAACCATGGAACCTTTCCATTGGACAAAACATTCTATATAGTGGAATAGGGTTCTTTAGATCATTAAAATGTTCTTCACATTAAGAAAAAGTCGTTCTTTTAAGAACTGTTCACTGAAAGGTTCTTTGAGGAACCCAAAATGGTTCTTCTATGGCATTCCTGTGAAAACCCCGTTTTGGAACACTCTTAAAAATAAAGGTTTCAAAAAGGGATTCCAATTGATTCAATGCGTTGATTCCAGAGAAGAACCCTTTTGGGTTCCTCAAAAAAACCTCTTCTTTGTGTGAAGAACATTTTAATAATATAACTGAATTGCCATCATGTTAATAACTGAAAGGTTGTTTGGAGGACCAAAAAAGGGCATCAGGCCGAAAACCTCTTTTTGGAACATTGAATTTTATCAGTGACATTGTGGTTTGAGGATATGGGTCAGGTCAACCTGAAGATAGATTACAATTCCTCGATGTTATGGTAATGTACCGATGATTTCCAGAGGGATGGTCAATGTATCTAATAATCAGCCTGAAGGGAAGTCATGTTAAGATTTCCTTCTTTTGTGTTTGTTGAAGTGTTGATGGTGTGAAGGGCTGGACTTGTAGTCGAGAGTGTCATCATGCCCTGTTGTGGTCCCCTAGGCGGTGGTCACACATAGCAGTGATTTCCTGGGGTCAGTGATAGTCATGTGACTGCTGGAGCTGCTGTCCATGATATTATAAACTCCCAGAGATTAGGTTATATGTTAGGAAGGAGAAAATCATTTGCATTTAACTGAACAGTTTAACCTGATCAGTAGTAAATGTATGATTTATTTTGGCTATAATTTGCATATGTCAGTCTTTTACTTGTATAATGGAAACAACATTTTGGCATACAAACCTCTGCAGCACTATTATTTTAAGTTTGGGGTCAGTACTTTTTTTTTTTTTAAGAATTTAATACTTTTATTCAGCAAGGACACATTAAATTTCTTAGAAGTGACAATAAAGATATTTATAATGTTACAAAATCTTTTTTTTTATTTTTCAAATAAATTAGGTTATTTTTAACTTTCTATTTATCAAAGAATGCTGGAAAAAACAAGAATATTGGTTTCCACAAAAATATTAAGCAGCAAAAGAGTTTTCAACATTGGTAATAATAAGAAAATGTTTCTCGAGGAGCAAATCAGCATATTAGAATGATTTCTGAAATATGTGACACTGAAGACTGGAGTAATGATGCTGAAAACTCAGCTTTACCATCACAGGAATAAATGACATTTTTTACATTTAAATTGGAAACCAGTTATTTAAAAAATTTTATAATATTTCTTAGTTTTACTGTTTTATTTTCTGTGAAAATAATTGAAAATGCAAAATAAGCATTTTTCAAGGTAAAATGTTGTAAGATAAGGTCAAGGGTCTACTACAGTTTGTAATGTCAGTCATGGACAGAGGCCTACTGTTTCAGTTACTATTTTGAAACAAATATTAGGCAGCGTACCTTGTGAGTACAGCGTGTTCCATTCCACACATATCACAAAAATGCAAATGCATGGAAAACTTAGAAAACCACATGCATAATAACAGAAATGTCCTGACATTTGTCACAGTGCAAACATTGTTCTTTTCCTACCAAACGTTACAGTCACATCTGTGCAAAGCTGTTGCTCTGCTCTGATATGTTTATTCAAATGCTGTACACCGGTCCATCATGTGAATCTGAATTCAGCCTCTGTGATCTCGACTTGCACATGCGTCTCATGAAAATGATGACTAAATGAAGAAATCCTTGCTTGCCCACCTGAAAAGCTGCAGTTAAATGACATGCTCTGAGTTACCATGGAAGCATTGGTCCCTGTGTCAGCCAGACTAGATCATTTAACCTTTTCTTAATTCCTGAATGGAAATGCTCATGGCGTCATCTTCCATGGTAACATTTAGGCTGTATTTGTAATCTAATATATGTAACACTCATGAAGACTACTAGTTAGAAGACTATTCAGGACTATTAGTCTACCAGTCAATCTGGTGCATGCATATTTATTGAACTCACAAATGTCTGAGTGGCTTCGGGTTCAATAAACCCAGGGCTCGAATTGAGGGGGGATGCATGGAAAAAAATCATCCCCTCAGTAAAACCACCATCCCCTTTGGATTAATAATGGGTATTCCGTAAAATGTATCATGCAAATGAAATGTTAAAATTATCTGCTTAAGATAATTCACGAACGGCGATTGGCCAATCAGAACTAGGTTCTG